AAATTTTGGTCAATGACATGAGACAAAATGTATGTGAACTGCTGTATGAAAAGTGAATTTACTCTGTAAATCTTCACCCAAATCAAAATAAAATTAAAAAAAAAAAAAACATATCCCACCAAGAAGCCAGTCAGAGCATGCCAGGTGTTTATCATATTTCTGAACACTCAGGCAGGGAGTAGAGGGAAAAGAAGCGATCAAAGATTCTTAAGGAGATGTAGGCCTCTTCTTAAGTCAAAGTATTTTAGTCCAGTAAAGAGAATGCTTGTTCTTTTGGTGGAGAAGTATAACCGAGAAATGACATTTAGGAAATTAAAATTAACTCCCTGCATTTCTCCATTAATGTCATCTTGGCCCCAAAGCAAAGCTGATTTTGTAAAAGATATTTGCATTTTTTTTTGGTATAGACACAAGATGCCAACTACCACTTTTAAAATTGTGTCTTCTGTGCTTTCTTATGATTTTGTACATTAGGTTAGACAGAAGTCTTCACGAGTTCGACGGGGGCTTCTCCTTGAAGCCCTCTTTCAGAAGTGGGATAGTGATGGCTCAGGCTTCTTGGATCTGAAGGAAGTTGATGAGGTCTTATACACATACAAGGAGGGAATGGAAAAAGAATCTATGAAAAAAGGTAAAATGTAAGAATTTTCTTATTTAAGTTGCGGTAATAATTTGGCTTTAATGTCCCAGTACTAATAAAATTAACATATATAAATAGAGTTAAAATACTGGTTGTTCTGTCATGATTTCATAAGGAAGAATCTGAATAGGTGATGGCTGAATTGTAACAAACGACTTTTCATGGACCCAGTCACAAAGTCTCTGCCTGGCCCAGTTATATTCTCTTTTCCTGAAATTAAAATTATACTTTTTTTGTTAGAATACCATCAAAGAGTATGTTTAAGGGTCATCAAGGCCATGGAAATCCAAACTAGTTCTTTTTTCTGCTGTGAAATTCTTATAAGCCATAAATATTTTCACAAGAGAATCCAAATTGATATGGCCTTAAGACATCCTTCAAACCTGGAACTGATCCCACCCCCAGGCAGCAACTTTCATTCAAACAATGGGCAGGCCTATAAAGTGAACATTAACAGCAGAGAGGAACACACTCCTCTGAACAATCAACCACATAATATGAGACCAGAAGGACAACACTTGCCCAAGAACAAAGCTCAGAAAGTTGGAAGGGGGAGGAAGGAAGGACAATGGAAACAGGAACAAAGGGAGGAGGTGGGAAGAATGCTGTTGCATTGTCAATGTCATGAAACAAAGTGTACATGAATTATTGAATGCAAAAGTAATTTGCTCTGTAAACTTTTACCCAAACCACACTAAAAAGTTAAGAAAAAAATTGAGGAGACTGAATTGTCTCAGCCTCTATTCTACTTCACCCCCTATAAACTAAAAAACAAACCCACTATTGTGGAGTCAATCCCAACAAAGAGCGCCCCTAGAGGACAGAGTGGAACTTCCCCACAGGGTTTCCAAGGCTGCCACGTTTACAGGAGCAGATCACCAGATCTTTCTCTCTCAGGAGCCTCTGGGTGGACTTGAACCACCAATCTCTCCACTCGCAGTTGAGCGCTTAATCATTGCACTACCAGGGCTCTATGTTCACAGTAAAAGGGTTCAAATCCTAGAGGCAACATAGGTCGAACACAGAATGTATGCTTCTAGTATAACATTTTCTTTCCTTCTGTAACTCTGTACTTAAAAAATTAAATGATGTGACATTCTCTCTCCACTGAAAAGCCACCAGTAGGGCTCAGCAGTGGGAGGGATTTGGGATGCATTTGCCCATTCTGTGTTTGACCACCCCCTATAGTGAACTGGAAAAGATAGAAAGCCAAAATCCATATTTCCCACACACCTTTACAGCTAGAATTATGGAATCACGTTAGGTTCACCAATTGGATACACACACGCAAGATTTGGAAGGCAAGAGGGAAGAAGACTCCTTCCTTCTGTCTTAATTTGAGTCCCACCCCCCACCCCACCCCAAAAAAACAAGACTCTACAACAAGGTCTCGGGTGCATGTAGTTTGTTTGGAAGATGATCTCAGAAATCACAAAGCAAGGAGTGGGGAAACTAAGACGAGAAGTGAGAAAAGCCACTATTATGGATTGAATTATGTGTCCAAAAAAATCTGTGTTGAAGTCCTAACCCTTGGTACCTGTGACTATGACCGTGTTTTGAAATAGGGTCTTTGAAGATGTTATCCATTAATATGATATTACACTTGAATGAGGTGGGCCCTAATCCCATCTGAGTGGTGAATTTATAAAAGAGGAGACAAGAGACATAGAGAGAAAATGTGGTGCAGTGAATTTCATGGTATGGCCTTTCTAGCTCAGGTCTTTGTGACTTCTGCCATGTGACTGGGTGGGACTATGCAACTGTGAGATATTTGTGGCCCACCGAGGGGATTAAATAGCTTGCTAATAATATAATAATGTGTATGGCTTTATTTACCATGCAAATAATGTATATGGAACTCTAATGTGTGGATTGGTCAGTTTTGCCATCCTGTTAAGCTTAAAATGAGGCATCCTAGAGGTGGAAAGGGGAGAAATCTCACTATCATCAAGAAAGTAGAGCCAAAGGAGTTCCGGCAAGATGGCGGACGAGGCAGAAGGACTGCACAGACCCTCTTCAACAAAGAAAAGGGAAACCAATTAACACAGACACAGAAGATAATCGTGGACC